CAGCTGTTGCATCGCGGCATTCACGCACACGTCCGGGGGAATGTACACATTCACGAGAATGAAAGAGAAAAACTCCCACGGCGAGTAGAAAGGTTTACAGTTTATGAAGAATGCCTCTAAGTTAGGACAGTATACCTTTTTCAGCATTGTTGCATCTGAACATCAACTTTTGCTGATGTAGAAACACAATCCACCACCTCTTGTTTTCCCCGTTAGCTCTGCGATGCGATCCGCTCTGAACAGCTGGTAGCCCGGCAGATGAAACGCGTTATCCGGAATGGCTTCACTCAGGCAGGTTTCAGTGAAGCACAGTGCAGCAGAGTTTGAAAAGTCCTTGTGGGTGCGGGTGAGGAGAAGTTCATCCATTTTGTTAGGAAGGGAATGGACATTCGCGACATGAATGCTTGGGAGCGCAGTTTGAAAGCCGCGTGCGTGGGGCTTAACCAGGGTGTCGGCGTGTTTCCCTCTTCTGCGTTTGCACGCGCGTTTGAACAACACGGCTGTACCTCCGACTAGAATGTCCAACAAAACGTCTGAATAATCAAAAACCAGAAAAATATTGTCTGGGATGTGTTGCTTAATGTTAAGGAGTTCGTCTCTGGTAAAACTTATAGAAGAAGAATGACAAAACACAGAACAAACAAACAAAAACATCAGAAGAATAGCGGAGCTCAGCGTCGTGGCTGCCATTTGCGGCACCATCTTTATATGTATTTATGATCCACTTGTGTTTTGTGGTGGTTGTCAGTGTATTATAACGGTACAAGATTTCAGCAATTCAGTATGTTAGTATTCTAAGTTTGTCAGTTAATATATACTGTATATATAAAAAAACCCACTTTTTTCTTGTAAATTTAAGCTAAATTGTAGCTACCATATTTTTTGGATAAGATTCTGCCAACCACAGCTGCAGTGTTTTTATTATTTGCAGTGTGATATACAGTGTAAATGAGTACACCCCCTCTAAAACTTAACAAATTCAGCAATTACTCTTTACTTAGAAGACATGTTAGGGTTCTTTGGAGATGTAATGTTCCAACAAGCCTGCTTGATCAATTACCAAAGAAGAACGCCAAAATTATTCAGCAAAATAAGATTTTCTTATCAAAGTGATTAAATTTTGTGTTGCAAAAATGAGTACACCCTCCTGAAAGTTACTAAAAAAAAAAAAAGAAAAAAAAAAGTGTATAGGTTTAAGGCTATTTTTGATCAACAGGTAAGTATATTGAACTAAAACTGTTAAAGACAAGTAATTTCCTGACAATTAAAAGTGTTATATAGCTTACTGAATCATACTCAGACTTAATGCTGGCAGCAGTGGAACCACTTGGGAGAGAACTGCCAGGTGACTTATTTCTTAGCATAAAAGAGGACAATGGTACAAGAGGAATACCAAATTATTGTTTTAAGTCTGAAAATATAGCAGAAGTAGCGCCAACATTCAAAAACAATGGACTTGTGATAAGGCTCCTGAAATAATCAGGCCTTCACTTTAAGTTTTCATTTAGTGATGAGAAATTGACCCTTATGACTGGTTTTGTGGTCCACTTGATTTTATAGTAGCATCAGTATTTAGTAGAAACTATGGTAAATGTTTGTAAGGGTAGTCCTGGAATATGTTTGTTGTTTAGAAAAGCAAAATCTGGTAGGTTGTTGTTTGCTAAAGTATCAGTTTACTGAAAAAATGACTTTTTTCTTTGTGCTGCATATTGAAGAGAGATACCAGCCTGGGGAAATTTCCCCAAAGACATCAGTGCTGCTTGCTTTAATATTAAAGAAAGAAAGAAAAAACACCATCTCCAACCCTCTGGCTTTAAGACAAATGGAGAAATTGTGGTGTTAATAGCCTGCTGCCGCCCTTCAGTGTAAGAATTTAATTATCTTTGGTCCATCTTATTGAGAAGCGAGTAATTGGTTCAGTGCTACACAACCGAAGAGGCTGAAACGGCAGAATTCGAAAGCTAATGGCTCCTTAAACAGGTTTCCACACACTGACAGAACATCCCGAAGAGACTTAGTTTGATATTCTCTCAACAATGCTTGGAAGATGGGAATGCTGGGTGATACTGACTTTGAGAGTTGAACATTCGCTCAAAAGAACACCGATTTTCTCATACCTTTTTTGTTCTGGGTGATTGAAAAAAAATAAATAAATAAACATAAAAATAAAATTAAATAAATCCTAAATTAATTATGATTTAACAGCAGTATAAATAATTAGTAAGCACTGCTAATGAACAAATTGCACAATAAATATTAAGAAGTACAGTTAGATTCCATTAGAAAGTTTTATTTGTGTAATATACCTTAGTCAGTGTAGTGCCATATTTAATTTTTGGCAAGAATAAAAACAAGGCTGCATGGGATAGAAGTACAGTGCATTCAATGGATTATATACTGTTGTTTAACAACATACCGATTGTTGAGCTGATGAAAAATCGTTCCAAAAGAAACATTCAGTAGACAAAACCTCCATAAAACAAAGTTGTGAGCTGGCGAAAATCTAGGACTTTTATACATTGTCTGCTAAGTTTATCCCTCACAGCCTCATTTTCATCAGCATTAAATTCAATAAAACTCAATAAAAAAGAAATATGTTTATTAGTAGTTGTTCTCCTTTATACATGCATAAACTAAAAAAAGCTCTCTATTAATCCCAGAACTGAAAAAGGGCTGCCAGCTCCTTAAAAATCTAAGGTTACAAGGCACAGATTGCCAATACTGAACAGCTCTGATAAGGCTGAAATGAGCGAAGGAATATCCTGCTATTGTGTCGCAGGCCTTGCTGGAGTGCATATACATGCACCAGGTGATTCTGCATCAACAGGGGCTTTTGTGTGCCTCTGCAAAACCCAGCTAATAAAAAATGGGGCCTGTAAAAGTGTAGCGTAAGGGATTTCGGTGAAAGACAGCAAAAAAAAAAAGGTGAAACAGAGAGAGGGAGAGAAACGGATTGATTGATAGAGAGCAGGAGAGAGCTGATACAGGGGGATAAGGGGAAAAAAGCCTCAATTCCATGTGAGAATGGCAACCATTTGAGCCTTTGAATTGGTTCCAGAGAAAAAGAGAGAGAATCAGAGCCCTGGCTAAGTGAAGCGCTGCTAAAGGCCAGGGCTTGGCTGCCAGTCAGACATTCACTGAATGAAACTGAGGCTAAGCTAGCCGAAACTGCTGGGGCAGGAAAAGCAGGGCGCTGGGAGCTACAGTGTGTGTGTGTGTGTGTGTGCAGACGTGATACTTGGTGTGTTGTGAACAAGATAGAATCCTGATAGGTGTTGCCATGTCGGGTCATCCCGGTCCAGTGTTTACAATGAGGTATAACAGTGTCCACAAAAGAGGTGATTGGTCTCTCTGGTTTTGTGCAGAAGTAAACACAACCGCACAAAGCCCCAACACAAGATCTTACAGTAGTTCAGAGGGCTATTAGACGCTTGTTGGACTGCTTTAAAATACCGGTTTATAGCGCGGCCGTAAAAAAGTCAAAGCTAGGTGCTGAAAAATTCTGATCTGGTTTTGATGGGCGTCTTGGCTTACAGCTCCAGTCCTATGAACAGCTTCTCACATTTGTAGTAAAAATCACAGCATGCTACTTTTTTCACTTCATGTCGTTGAGGTATGAAAATGTTCTCCTCCTTTAAGATGCTTCATTTAGCACTCCTTCTCTTTCACCCTCTGTGTTTTCAATCATCTAACTTTTGTGGAAACGATCAATGCTGACCTTGTTACCCTGCCAGAAAATCTCCATCTCATAATTCCATGGAGTTTAAGTGACTGCTGGAGACATGTTTGACCTTGGTTCAGTTTTCCAGCTTAACTGGAAAAAAAAAAAACACTACTATACAGTGTTATTTTAGTATTATTTATGTACTATTATAATATTTATTATTATTATTTTAAATTAGCTTATATTTTTATTTTAGTTCTAGCAATTTTGTTATGTTTTTGTAATTTTAATTCATATTTAATAAATATTTATATCTGATTTTTTTTTTTATTTCACTTTTAGTTATAGTAATTTTAGTACTTCCGTTTAAACTTGTTTGATTTAATCTGGTTGACAAGGCAACATTTCTACGTTTTTCAAGTTTTCAAGTTTTTAATCTAATATATTTTATTTCAGTTTAATTTCAGTTAGCACAAACAATTTTTGATAGCTTTAGTTAACAATAAAAACACTGTTACTGCAGTCTGACTGAAACCCTTGCATAGTGTTCTCAGAGACTGGTATCATCCAACCTGTACAGTTTTGTAGTCCAGCCTAAACCGAGAGATAAACCCAGATTAGATTACCATTGTATGATGCTCAGTTGTCTTTTTGACAGTCGCTTAAGCAGGTTTGGGACCATTGTGGCTATGTAAGCCGGATTTAAGTGTCTAGCGCTGGGAATTAGCTTAGCACCGAATCGTTTGTAATGCTGTACCTGCCGCTGTCTATTTAGCTCCTGTAGCAAACGCGCATTAGTCACAATGAAACACCTTTTTGTCACAGTTAATGTACAGTTAAAGAGGCTTCCAGATGAAGGCCTTGTAATCTCTTCTGCTTTTCTGAAAGTCAATAAAGAAGGTAAGGTGATTTGCATCTGAATGGACCGCCATTAAAAGAAGACGTGCCAAGCAAACTGCATTCCCATTTGATAACGTTTGATTGTGTCATTGCCGACAAGATGGCAAGCGAGTCCGATTAGCTTTCAATCAATCTGACTATGGTCCAAAACAACACCTGGCAACCTTCATCTCAATTAACTTGCCAAAAGACCAAAGTTACACATAGTAACACCAGCAAAACTTTTTCAGGCATTCTGAGAGAAAATGCAGACTCTTGTTTTCTTGTTTATAGGCAATTGTAGAGCTGCCACCCACAACAAAAGGCTCGATTAATCATGGGAAGAGTGATTCAGATGCCGTGGATTAAACTTCGTCGGGCTGCAGGATATTGGATGTGATAATTTCCCATCTTGTTTGCAATTGTGAACACCGCATTAGGAAACACTGTCACTCACCTTCTTCAACACCGGCATCTTTTTCATTCTTATGGTCGTCATTATCTGCAAAAGACAGGAAGAGAAACCAGACAGGTCAAAAGCTACGACGGCAATCCTGACACGATCAAAAAAGCAGCCCGGCGAGCGTGGATTTCTGTGGGCTTAGTCCTATTAGTAGTGTAACAAGAATTTAGCAAATCAGGAATACAACACATTTATTTACGGAGATGCCTCCTTTGCGAGACCTCAGAACAGGGCTGAACAGGAAACAGAGGCAGAACAAGCATTGATTTTTAGATTAAATCCAAGGTTTCTCTAAGGATTGAAAATATGTGGTTTGTTGAGTCCCCCAGGCAGTTAGTTCTAATGAAAGCTGAGCAGAGACAAGCCGAGAGCTCGCAGTCTGTTTGATCTGGATTGATGTATTATTTGAGTTCAGGCTGCTATCAAACGCTCATCTGTGGGAAGACAATCATGCTATTTGATATGATCCAAGCAGCAATTAAATTCAGCATTTGGAGGAGTGCTGAAATAGTTTCAGCTGAGGTTGAAGGCGACATGTCTATATCAGTTGCTCCTAACTGGTTTTGCTTCAGAACCCAATTTTTCATTGGACATAATCACAAAAAGTTTTAAACTACAAAGCTAAGAAACTCCTTAAAATGTAACATTGCAATGTTACAATGAACTGCATAGACCCAATAATATACAACAATATTAACATGACATTAACAGTAAAACTGACAATTTTGTAAATGTAACACGTGTTATTCTTCAAATGCTGGGCCAAAAAGATAAATATGAGGCATATCAGTAAACTAAAATCATATCCTGTGCAAATCAAATGGCACAGCTGTGAATGTGGCTTTATGTTGCTTTTCTGTTTTTTTTTTTTTTTTACTTTGAGTTGTTATAGTCTTCAAGGATCTGACTAGCTTCAACCAAGTCACAAACGATTTTGCAACAAGATATACAGATTTTCAACCTTTGATGACAACTAAAAATGACAAACGTTTCTCCCTCCTTTTTAAAAGTTGATTTATTTTGCTATAACTATTGATGATTATATAGTGCATTACGCATTGTTTCTTTCCTACAAATGTGAACAAAACAGTTTTTTTTTATCCTGACTATGGGTCATGATGGTGAACTATTTGTCCAACAGTTTGAGTTTTTAAAGATTTTTTTCTTATGTATATATTTTACATATTTTAGATTTAAGACGTACAAAATGTTGTCTAAAATTTTTAAATAGTAGATTATCATCTGTTGTATTCTAGCTCTTGTCAAAGACATAGTTTTATACATCTCTAATCTGAAAAGACTTGCTTCTGGGTCCCGACCCAACTGTTGAAAACCACTGATCTATAGGATCTTGACCTGACTGTATGTAAAAATACCTGTATTTCAGCCATCTGTCAGCTAAATATGCAGTGATCTGCATTCCTCCAGTGCTCAGCTCTCTTATATTCTATCCTCTGTTCTTGTTCACTCTCATTCCCTCCTGTACAGGTCCACTGCTCTCTTTAACTCTGTTGTTTCTTCTTTTACTTTTTGTCTATTCCTTTTTTTACACTCTCAGCTCAGAGTACTTGCCAAAGAAGTCAATATGTCCCCTGAATTTGACTCTTTTTCTGCTTGAGTGCCTTTTCTCTTCTTGTATGATGCCAAACCTAATGGACCTGAAGCCTGGTGTCTGCAGCCAAGGCTGTTCCCTGCCTGGTTAAAGCTCGTTAGCCATCCTTGACGACTGTTAGCTATTACCACAAACCAAACAGGTTCCAATTCATACACTGCTAGCTCATAATTAGATCTATTCTCCCAGACTTCTTCTAGAAAACTAAATGTTTAAAAGAAATTCTAGCTAAAAGTGAACAGGGTTTTTCTTTTTCTTTTTTTTCATAAAGCCAATATAAAATCAAAATGATTTGCTTTGTTCACAATAAAACCAGGAAGAAGCAATAACAATTTTATCAGTGCATCTTATTCTCGTTTCACTCAGAAATACATTACATATGTTGAATGGGTTGTGAATAGCAAATCACTGTTACACTGTGACAAAAACAGCTTTTTTATTTAATTTTCTAAGCCTCTTGCAGACCTCATCAGCATGTCATCCTCAGACAGGCACATGGTCACACACACAGAAAAACACGTTCACACACTCACACATCCAGCCTCTAGCAAAAGCTCCTGCTTTGATAAAACACTCCTGTCATCTGTTCATGAGAGAAATACTGTCAAATCTCCCTCAGGACGGTGGGGCCATGTTTTTCCTTAACACAGAATAAAGGCAAAGCAGGCATTTATCTGGGGAAAAGAGGGGAAAAACAGTGACATCATAACATGCTGAGTCACACTGGACAGGGAGCAAACCCTTTGGACAACCTTCAGCAAAGAGCAAGTGCCCTCTGTGCATGTGCCAGCTGATTATGCAATATCCCAATGAAAGTGCTGTAAATGTAATGCACTGCTATGCTGTTGTATGATTTTTTTTTGCACTTTATGCTAAATGCACAAAGCAAGACTTGTGCTTGCTGCATCATTTCGTCACTGTAATGCTGATTATTAATTAAAAAATGTAAGGTAAGTAGGTATGTATGTATGGAGATGAATGGATGGATGAACGGACAGACAGACAGACAGATGGATGTATGGATGGATGTACAGACAGAGACAGACAGGTAAACAGATGGATGGACACATGGACAGAAAGATAGTTGGACGGACAGAGAGACAAATAAATAGATGGACAGACGGATGGACGGGTGAACAGAGAGATGGATGGATAGACAGACAGAGACAGACAGACGGACAGACAGATGGATGGACGGACAGAGAGACAGACAAATAAATAGATAAACGGACGGACAGACAGACAGAGACAAACAAATAAATAGATGGACGGACAGAGACAAACAGACAGATAGACACAACGATGGATGGATGGTTGAATGGATGGACAGACAGAGACAGACAGATAAATAGATGGACGGAAAGACAGAGACAGACAAATAAATAAATGTGCGGATGGATGGACGGACGGACGGGCAGACAGATGGACAGATGGATGAATGAATGAATGAATGGACAGACAGACAGACAGATAAATAGATGGATAGATGGACAGAGACAGACATAGATGGACAGATGGATGGATGGACGGATGGATAGGCGGAAACAGACAGATAAATGAACGTGTGGATGTATGGACATATAGATAGATGGATAGATGGACGGACGGACGGACGGACGGACGGACGGACAGACAGACAGACAGACAGACAGATAGATAGATAGATAGATAGATACCTGTAGATCATTTTTAAATCAAATATGTTGCAGTAATTATGTGAGCTAAAACAATAGATGTCTAAATGATTTAAAAAAGAAACAAGAACATGTAAGCCAACTAACTAGAGACTGTTCTAATTCCACTGACCAGATGGACGGCACACGCACAGACACCAACGTACATCCACTGTCTCTGCTCCTCAAGGACAGCCAGACATGGGCCCCTGGGGGCCAGAGAGTGTGCTGGAACATGCTGCCTTTCAATCTGCTCATGTCTGAAAGCATTTTAATCAGTTGCAGGGCCTCCCAAACCAATCAATTACTTTAATCAATCAATTAGAGCACTGGGGTGTGATGAAAACCGGCTTACCACCCACCATTTTGTTCAATTGGATTAAAATTCCAGGCTGAGGAAAAACCAAAAGAATAATAATAATTGAGAGGATGTTACATAGCCAGAACAGAATCAAGATACACAGTACAAGAAACATGTCAAAGCTTTTCTTATGATCAAATTTCCATAGAAATTGCAAATATTCAACTGCTGCACTGAAATATTTTATTGTACAGTATAGTGTTAGAAAAGCTGTTTACGTTAATGATTCTGTCTCTTGAAAGTAACACGCAGCTAAATCGCTGCTAGCTCCTCACCACTATCGTAATGGCTGTATTCCTAGCTGTGTAAAGCCCCACACATGGTGGCACTTCAAAAAAATTCCCATGGTGTGTTTGATGATATTAATGCACCGTAACACACTCAGCGTTTGTTCCCTGGAGACTGAGGACGTTGAGTGTGCAGCCTTCATTTTCAACTCTTTCGGGGGTCCAGGAGGCCCCATCGACTTACATCGGACGACCATCGTCTCACCACAAACACCCGGCTTTAAAAATGATAGGCTTTCTGACACAGTAACACTGGGAGAGGAAAGCCTCTATTAAAGATAGCAGGGGGAGCTGTCGTTTGAGAACACGGCATAGAAACACCATGTAAATATGGATGTGGAGTGGACCAAGAGTGAGTGAGAGCGTGAGAATGAGATTGAGAGACAAAGACAGAGAAACAGAGCTTCATTTCCTGACTGAAAGTATAAAATGTAATGAGATCTGACAAAACACTTTGTTAAAATTATATTTTCTATTATCTATCTATCTATCTATCTATCTATCTATCTATCTATCTATCTATCTATCTATCTATCTATCCATCCGTCCGTCCGTCCATCTATCTGTCCGTCTAGCTATCCATCCATCCGTCCGTCCATCTAGCTATCCATCCATTCACACACATATTAATGAAATCTTTTTGCTTTTATACCCCACGAGTCATTCTATCATGTCTTTCACACATTTTCACAGTTCTTTTTTACAATATACCGAATCTACTTATTTATCACATCAATATAGAACATTGAAACACTGTGAAAGAAAGACAGAGAACATTAAATTCTGCCTTCTTTTTTCATAATTGTAACTCGCTGAAACACAATCATAACCCATATTAATGAAACACAGAGACGGTCTCCAAGCTCTTTCACACATCTAATTCATCCTAATTTTCTGACAAATGCATTCTTCTTGGTCCCTTCACTGACTCATAAATGACTGTAACAGGACAGCAGGCAGTGATGTGCACTGTACTCACTTACATAAGCGTCGGATATTCTTCAGAATCCTCTCGCAGGCCCAAACCCACTAACTCCCACATAATGGACCTCAAACTGCTCTTATGGGTGTTGAGGCTCTTGAGGGAGGATAACAGCGGGATGCAA